GTGGCTGCAGAAAACAATATGAAGTTCAACGATGAGAAATTTCAATTACTCAGATATGGTAAACATGAGAAATTAAATCTTCATCAGAGTACAAAACAAATTCTGGCCACAAAATAGAGCGAAACACCAACGTCAAAGACCTGGAGTGATCATGTCGGAGGATCTCACCTTCAAGGACCATAACATTGTATCAATCACATCTGCTAGAAAAATGACAGGATGGATAATGAGAACCTTCAAAACTAGGGAGGCCAAGCCCATGATGACACTCTTCAGGTCACTTGTTCTATCTAGCTGGAATATTGCTGCACACTAACAGCACCTTTCAAGGCAGGTGAAATTGCCGACCTAGAAAATGTACAGAGAACTTTCACGGCGCGGATAACGGAGATAAAACACCTCAATTATTGGGAGCGCTTGAGGTTCCTAAACCGTATTCCCTGGAACGCAGGAGGGAGAGATACATGATTATATACACCTGGAAAATCCTAGAGGGACTAGTACCGAACTTGCACACGAAAATCACCCACTACGAAAGCAAAAGACTTGGCAGACGATGCACCATCCCCCCAATGAAAAGCAGGGTGTCACTAGCACGTTAAGAGACCATACAATAAGTGTCAGGGGCCCGAGACTGTTCAACTGCCTCCCAGCACACATAAGGGGGATTACCAACAGACCCCTGGCAGTCTTCAAGCTGGCACTGGACAAGCACCTAAAGTCAGTTCCGGATCAGCCGGGCTGTGGCTCGTATGTTGGTTTGCGTGCAGCCAGCAGCAACAGCCTGGTTGATCAGGCTCTGATCCACCAGGAGGCCTGGTCTCAGACCGGGCCGCGGGGGCGTTGACCCCCGGAACTCTCTCCAGGTAAACTCCAGGTAAACTCCCTCCCCATCCCTGTACCTGCCTCCCCTACCAAACCACCCTCCCCCACCCCCAGTGCCTGGGCCTCCCCACGCACTTGGTCTACCTCTTCTACCCTACACACATCAAACACCAACAGACTACAAACACCTCTTCATCTATGCCTACACCCCCACTAGACTACAAAGCTAACTGTCAACTCGCCACTGCTGCCCACTCTGCAATGGTAATCTCTCAAGCTTACCAATCAGATTACTCGCATGTCCTTAACCTAATCTTGTCTATCTTCCCTCTCTAATCATCCCTCTTCCTTGCTTCTCTTCTAAACCCCCTACAACCTCTAACTACTCCCTCTCTCCCACCCCCCCCCACTTCCTACACCCACCAGCTCTCCTCCTCCCCTACCCATTTTCACTACTACCCCTCCCACCAACACCCCTACCTAGTAAAAATCCCTTAGGGATTCTTTACTTGTTTTTAAGTAAAATACCAAATATGTACTTTCTCCCAAAAACACAGATATGGAGCCGGATAGCAAGAACCTTCAAAACAAGGCCAGTACTCTCAGGCTGTGCTGTTCCAACACGACCGATTGACAAGATTGTGACAGCACTATTAATGCCATTCTTGAACATGCTGCCAGATGGGTTGAAGGGTACGACTCACTTTCTAAGTCATAGAGGAAACCAGGCAATGGATAAGAACAGCCCTGATGGATCTATGACTAGAATCTTTAGACATAGTCGCTTTACCTTTCTATCCCAAAGGCAGGGGTAGTTGCAGAGTTCTACAAGGAGAATCTAGGAACGATGAAAGACCTGATATCCCTAGGGATTCGAAGACCTCCAAGCAAAGAACTGGTACGAAAATCCCTCTTACTCTCAATGGAGGATAAGATCCTGAAGTTTAACGAGACATGTAGACAAGAGATGGGAACAGCGATTGGAGCCTCGGTGAGTGCCGCGGTGGCCGAGGAGTAACCTGGGGGAGAAACAGGAACGAAGAAAACCCTCCAGTGCTGCTTTACAAGAGATATATAATGACATATTTTGTATAATAGAAGGTGGGGATGATAAGATAGCAGTGTTAGTGTCCTGGGTGAATAGAGCACACCCATCACTAAAGTTTGCATTGAAAGATAACAGTTCTGAACTGCCGTTTTTGGACAGTGATCTATTTGAACGAAAGAAGAGATACACATTCGAACGTATTACAAACCAGGTAATGCACACCAGTATCTGCACTGGACCTCCTCACATCCTCAATCCCTCAGGCAATCACTACCTTTTTCACTAGCCCTGAGAATAAAGAGAATCTGCAGCAAAGAGAGATGCTTCAAAGAAGCACTGAATGAGATGTGGGACTTCTTTAGAGCCAGAGGTTATCTAGATAGCTGTTTTGAACATGCAGAGAGAAAATTAAATGTGCTGGACAGACTCCAACTATTGAAACCTAAAAACAAGCCAGTGGACTGAAGAATACTTACCTCACTTTACAATCAACAGTTTGCATCAGAATTTAGGAAAGAGCTAACAACCCTCTGGAATGGATTGACGGCTAATTCGGGCAGGCCACCTGGGCAGAATAATTTTCCCAAACGACCACCCATGTTGGCTTGGAAGAAGATGATTTATTAAAGAACAAACTTGTGAGAGCAGAATTCCCAAAGAAAAGAAGATAACAGCTAGTCAAGAAGCGGACAGCAAGCAGGCACAAACTTAAAACGTGACCTTTCCTAGCAGTTAATGACTCCTTCATTGCTCGAATATCCATGGATTTGCTAGTTACATCCATGGTTCATACATATTAAATTCAATTAATGAACACTGATTATACAGTTACAATGAGACACCAAAAATCCTAGCCAAATATTTCCTGGCTTAGCAAATTAAGTTATCAGAAAAGACTACTATCATTCCTAACTCTGAGCTTTGCAATTTAATTATAGTAATTACAATCCTGGCCTCGCTGAGCTTGGCAATTAATTACACAAACATTAATACATTAATTATTATTCATATTTATATAAATTATTTATATTTATAAATTATTATTAATTACACAAACATTAATACATTATATAATGGGTTTATTTGGATTTATTTAATTTTATGTAAACCGAAACAAATTTTCATTCAAGTCGCTCATATCTGGTTCGAAGGACCAAAGACAATCTTGTGAGAAATTATTCGAGTAAATTTTACAGGCAATGTCACAAATTATTTCCCTCTCATAACTTTGAAGAAATCTTGGTATATCAAGCCCTTGTGGTTTAGTGCTTCTTTTTTTATTATAATAACTGGTATATCAGTTTGCTGATATCGATGCACCTCAGTCAAGTGGGACTTTAGGTCACCAGGTCACAGTATCCCTCCTTGATGCCCACCTGAGTCTTGCATATCTGGACCTGAATTATTAGAACATATAGTTCTAAAATTATTTGAAAAAATGTACCAGTAATTGACATGTGTGGACTGTAGATATTCAGTAATGGCCTACTTAAGTAATTTGCTTGGGTAATTTGATATAAATACACATTAAAAGTATAATGGAGATTTCCATATAACTCGCCAAATTAAGATTTGGTGTCATATCTTAATGACTCCCTTTCTGTAGGAAAATTACAAATTAACATACCTGTAGTGAGAACTAATACTCTGGGAGGCATACATTTGTGGTGTAAACTTCATAAATTTCTGACAGCACTACTACTATTACTCCGAATTTTATTTGAAGATTCGGCAGATTTCCAAATTCCTTGAGAGAGCCAATGCTACATCTCAGGACAGCCACCCGGACATTACTCCATTCAATTTTCCATTTTTTGACCTCTCCCTCTTGGGTCAAAATAGAGCCGAGACTAGCAGTCGGCCATATAGTCTCACCCATACTGACTGCTGCCATCTACTCCACCCCCCTCCCCCACTCAGTTGGAAGCACTCATTTGCTTCCTCACAATTAGTTTGGTATTTTGTGACTGCCATTAATACTTCATAAGTTGGTTACATTATATTAACACTTCACAAACACATTACTAATTATAGAAAAATTAATCCACAACACTGTAAATGATGAACTAAAAAAAAACTACTTGGACTACCAACAAACTTACTCTCAATGTAGACAAAACCTACTTTATGCTATTTGGAAAAAGAACTTCAAATGTACAGTAAACATATTGGTAAATGGTTCACCCATTTCAAGACACACAGATGGCAAATTTCTAGGTCTCCACTTTGACTGCAGACTCAGATTCCAGACCCACATACAGTAAATATCCAAGAAAGTCACCAAAATGGTAAGCATCCTTTCAAATATTTTTACTATGTACCCCAAACGGTTCTTCTTGCTCTTTACCAATCATTTACCCTTACCTCACCTATGGTATTTGTGCATGGGGCTCAACCACAGCAATCATCTTAAACCTATAATAACCCAACGAAAAGCTGCAGTGTGAGTGATTACCAACTCCTGCACTAGACACACTCCACTGCTTTTTAAGAGTCTCAACTTGCTTAATATACAAAACATCCACACTTATTATTGTGCCTACTACACAATTATACTCGAATATTAACCCTCCTCTCAAACTCCTCCTTGATAACTACAACAGAGCAAACAGGCATAATACAAGACACAAATCTCTTCGATATCCCTCGTGTCCTTCTCTCCCTATGCTAAAATGCTGTGCACATAAAGGGCCCGAAGATCTGGAATTTATTGCCAGAACACACTAAAGGACCCCTGCTGCCTCCAAATCAATTAAGGCCCTACTTAGAAATCGCCTCATCACCCAAAATTAACCAGACAAGCAATGTCTACCAGTTACTAAAAAAAAAAAAAAAAAAAAAAAAAAAAAAAAAAACACCCCAACTCCTAAATAAGACTGCTGAACTATTTAATCATTACTCCAATCTTAAAATTGTTTAAATTTCATTGTATTAAGTTTTACCAAATTATAGTACTGTAAGTTTGGTTCACCAGAAGCTTTCATTGCTTTACCAAGGTTTTTTTTTTCCGACAAGTGTCGAAAGGCTTTCTTTTTTTACTAGAGGCTCTAAACTCTGCCGATGTAGAACAGCAATAAATACCATTCTTACCAGAATCTTTTTCTGATGAGGCGACTCTTCTCTTCAGATATTGGCATCGCTATTGATGTCGAAGCCCCAACCAGAGCAACTGGCACCCGACACCGGATACCTCCAGCACAGCAACAACCAGAGCAACTGGCACCCGACACCGGATACCTCCAGCACAGCAACAACCAGAGCAACTGGCACCTGACACCGGCTACCTCCAGCACAGCAACAACCAGAGCAACTGGCACCTGACACCGGATACCTCCAGCACAGCAACAACCAGAGCAACTGGCACCTGACACCGGCTACTTCCAGCACAGCAACAACCAGAGCAACTGGCACCCGACACCGGATACCTCCAGCACAGCAACAACCAGAGAAACTGGCACCCAACACTGGCTACCTCCAGCACAGCAACAACCAGAGAAACTGGCACCCGACACTGGCTACCTCCAGCACAGCAATAACGTTCAACCTGCTGACTCCACACCTGCCACTAGTGTAAAACTCAAGTCACATCTAACCAAGGTGGTGGTTAGAGGTAATCTTCAGGTCTTCACAATGGAGTGAATGAGGTAGGATGGAAGTCTTAGTGTAAGTCTACGATGTATTTAATAAAGAACTCCAAGCTTGCTATTTGTATACGGATAGAAATTGCAGCATAGGTTGAATGCGTTACGTAGATAAGTAGTGTTCTGTACATACGCGTACTTGGCGTAAGCACATGTACACGCCTGTGTATTCTGTATTCAGTTGCAAGGGGTTTAATCATAGTTCTCTCCCTTAACTTTCTGCTTCCCAGACTCCCTCTTAGCCTCGAAGACTATCTCGTAATATTCTTAAAGCTAGATATAAAACCTGCCTCCCCATATTTCGAGGCGATTCTACTCTAATTCCTGACGTCCCTGTAGCTCTTCTAACTTTCAGCTGTAACCCTGAATACCCGTTTCCCAGCTTTTCAAACCTCCCGTTCTTGTCTAACTTGTCAATTCCCCTTGGCTGCTTTCCTCTTAGATGTAAAAATTAGTCAACTCGTCCTGCTGGAACGTATCCTGTGTAAAAATACTCCGATATCTGTTGGAACTGAAAATTGTATCGAAAGGTTAGGTAAGGTTTGTCAGGAAACAGAAGAAGTCTCCTAACGAGGGTCTTAGTCAGATGACCCGCCGTTGGAACTTTTGGTCATCTGACAGAGGCCTTCCGCTAGCTTACCGGCCCACCCCCTTTACAAAAGAATGGTTATAGTTATAACCACTGAGTTGTCTTTAGTAAGAAAAGACTAGTTAATATCTCTTCGAGTTGATCAAATATTAGGTAAAAGATATTAGAATACAGTGTCTATACCTAATTTTTCCAGTCTCGCTCAAAATAACAACCTCGTGTAATTACTGTGCTCATCGTTTCTCTTGGCTTCCCTTGTCCTTCGCTTATACCAGTGCAGTTTGCAAAGTGATGGAATGTCTGGTAAATAGAAGTTTAATGTGGTATTTAGAGAGAACAGTCTCTCCACTCGTCAATATGGCTTTCGTAAGGGCCGTCCGACCATAGACCCCTTACTACGTTTAGATATGTATGTACATAATGCCTTTGCGAATAACCACTAAGTTATTGCCATATTTTTTGACTTTGAGAAGGCATATGACACAACTTGGAGGTATAATATTTTGACCCAAGCCCACTCCTTAGGCCTCCGAGGCAATCTACCATCTTTCCTTAAGAACTTTTTAACTGACAGACATTTCCGTGTTCGAGTCAATGTGCTCTCCCCAGACTTTGTCCAAGCTGAAGGTGTCCCTCAGGGATGTGTTCTGAGCACAACACTTTTTCTCCTTGCTATAAATGATTTGGCCTCTGTTCTTCCACCCAATATTTGGTCATCACTCTGTTGATGACTTCGTTATTGCTTGTGCAGCCGCTGACTGACACTTCATTCCAGTTTCTCTCCAGCATGCGGTCGACCATGTTTCCAATTGGGCCACCACGCATGGGTTTAAATTTTCCTGTACTAAAACTCTCCAAATTATTTTCATTAGAAGCTCTGTCATCTCCGATCATCCTTTGTACCTCTATGGCTCCCGTATCCCTGAACGTGATAGTCAGGTTTCTCGGCCTTCTCTTTGACCGTAGGTTATCCTGGAAACCTCACATTACCTCTCTGAAGGCAACTTGTCACAGCCGGCTGAACCTTCTTAAAACCCTAGCTCATCTTTCGTGGGGAGCTGATCGTCGAACTCTCCTTCGCCTACATTCAGCCCTCATTTTATCAAAACTCGATTATGGTGACCGGATATATTCAGCGGCCTCTCCTGCTACTCTCTAGCCTTAATCCCATCCATCGCCAGGGATTACGTTTATGCCTTGGTGCTTTTCACTCTTCCCCTGTTGAGAGCCTCTATGCAGAAGCGAATGTTCCATCCTTGTCCGATCGCCGTGATGCTCATTGCCTTTGCTACTATGTATGCTCTCACAATCTCCGCAATCCTTCCATTTATAGAATGGTTACTGATATTAGTAGACATTCTTTATTTGTTTGCCGCCCCTGTTTACTCCGTTCCTTCTCTCTTCGCCTTCATTCGCTCTTGTCTTCTCTTCAATTACCACCTTTCTATGTACATGTAGCATCTCACTTTTCCCTACCCCCCTGGGAAGTTCCAGCTGTTCGGGTCTGTTCTTTCTCATTCCCTTGCTCGAAAGCCCAACTGCCTACAGTGGCTTCCCGCTCTTTTTCTTGACCACTTCCACTCTCATTCTCGTACCATTGCCGTGTACACAGATGGCTCTAAATCTTCTGACGGCGTCGGATGCGCAGCAGTGTTTCCGAACAGCATCGTGTGAGGGCATTTACTATCTTCGGCTAGCATTTTTACTGCTGAATTGTATGCCATTCTTGCAGCACTTATTTGTATCACATCTATGCCTGTGTCATCATTTGTGGTTGTCTCAGACTCCCTTAGTGCTCTACAGGCTATACGGAAATTTGATACACCTCACCCCCCTAGTTCTTTGTGTCCAACTTTGGCTACGCATTATCTTTACTAAGCATAAAGATTTTTTTGTTGGGTCCCTGGTCATGTTGACGTACAGGGCAATGAACAGGCAGACACTGCTGTGCGGTCAGCAGTACATGACCTACCAATTTCATATAGAGGTGTTCCATTTCCAGACTATTTTGCTGTAATAGCTACCCACCTTCACACCCATTGGCAACAATGTTGGTCTGCTCTGCTCTGCTCAATAACAGACTTTGTTCTATTGAACCGAGTATAAGTTACTGGCCGTCTTCTTGTCACCAGTGTCTAGGTTGGGAGACTACTCTCTCCCGCCTTTGCATTGGCCATACTCATCTTACTCGTGGATATCTCATGGAGAGGCACCTTGCTCCTCTGTTTGAATTGTCAGGTTCCAGTATCAGTCAGCCACATTCTGTTAGACTGCCCACTTTATCAACGAGCACGCAGAATTTACCTCCAATGTCGTCTTTGCCCCGCTGCTCTCTCTACCTTCCCTTCTCGCTGATTGACCCACCTTTCATCCGGACACTCTCATTGACTTTTTGACAACTGACTTACTCCACAAACTCTGATGATACCTTCAGCCCTTTCTACCTCAATCTCTTCCTACCCTCTACCCCTGCACTATCCCTTGCCCCGCTGCTTTCTGTAACCTACTAATCATCCCTCCCCCCCTTCTGCCACCCGATACCCTCGCTTCCTTCCCTACCCTGCAGCGCTGTATAGCCCTTGTGGCTTAGCACTTCTTTTTGATAATAATTCCCTTGTCCTTGTGCTCCTGCCATGATCTCGTACAGTTCAGTGAAGAGTTGATAACTGCCGCCGCTCTTACCGTGGGGACCCTGGCTGTGTGCGTGAAAGTGTGTATTTAATTCATACGTGGGCGCTTGTACGTTCCTTCATGCAAGAAGAAAAGTGTTGAAGCAGAAATAGCTAAAATATTAGTGGTGTAAATGTCTGTGTTACTTAATTTTCATAATTGTAGTTGATTACTCAACGTTATTACTAAAAAAATGTTTAATCTAGTGTAATATTATAGCAAGTTAGTTTATTCATGTATACACAAATAGCTACATTGATTATTATACATAGCAACATGTGTAGATTACCTAGAATAACCCAGAAAAAGGTCAGAGACTTATTTCCATCGAGTCCTATATTTGCAGTCTCGGTTTTTCTATAAACTGATTTTAAAGACCTTCAGAGAAAAGTTTACCTGGAGAGTTCCGGTGGTCAACGCCCCCGCGGCCCGGTCTGTGACCAGGCCTCCTGGTGGATCAGAGCCTGGTCAACCAGGCTGTTGCTGCTGGCTGCATGCAAACCAACGTACGAGCCACAGCCCGGCTGATCAGTAACCGACTTTTAGGTGCTTGTCCAGTGCCAGCTTGAAGACTGCCAGGGATCTGTTGGTCAGTTTTGATATAATTTTACTATATATCTGCTTTTAAGAATGAAGAATTGCAGCATTGTGGCGCCTGTGATTATACGTTAAGCAGTACAATGGTATAGAAGAATAAAAATAAAAATGACTATAATTATATATAATTATAACCTTAATTTTTTAAGTGGAGTGGTAAGCCAGTGGAAGGCCTCGGTCAGATGACCAGAAGCTTCAGCGACGGATCATCATATAACCAAGACCAGCGCCAGGAAACACTTGTACTGTTTCCTGACCAATCTTTCCATTATATATCTAAGCTTGATTATATGATTATACGAAACTCATTCAATGTAGGCAGTGGGTCCAGACAACATTTACATTCAACTGGTTCTGGTGAGATGGATCACTGCAGTTCCCAGAATTCACTCGTTCTCGTGGTGCAACAGCTGCGCTCTTCCCCAGTTCATGACGTGAAAATGAATGTTGCGAGAGACTACGGATGCGGTGTTGGTTTTACCCCCTCTCATTCCGGTTCATTCGTCCCTGAAGGCTTGTCTGAAGGTCTCTGCATGTCCCCTGCAAGTTCATTTGTTTTTCAAGGCTTGTCTGAAGGTCTCTGCATGTCCCCTGCAAGTTCATTTGTTTTTCAAGGCTTGTCTGAAGGTCTCTGCATGTCCCCTGCAAGTTCATTTGTTTTTCAAGGCTTGTCTGAAGGTCTCTGCATGTCCCCTGCAAGTTCATTTGTTTTTCAAGGCTTGTCTGAAGGTCTCTGCATGTCTCTTGCAAGTTCATTTGTTTTTCAAGGCTTGTCTGAAGGTCTCTGCATGTCTCTTGCAAGTTCATTTGTTTTTCAAGGCTTGTCTGAAGGTCTCTGCATGTCTCTTGCAAGTTCATTTGTTTTTCAAGGCTTGTCTGAAGGTCTCTGCATGTCTCCTGCAAGTTCATTTGTTTTTCAAGGCTTGTCTGAAGGTCTCTGCATGTCTCTTGCAAGTTCATTTGTTTTTCAAGGCTTGTCTGAAGGTCTCTGCATGTCTCTTGCAAGTTCATTTGTTTTTCAAGGCTTGTCTGAAGGTCTCTGCATGTCTCCTGCAAGTTCATTAGTTTTTCAAGGCTTGTCTGAAGGTCTCTGCATGTCTCCTGCAAGTTCATTTGTTCTTCAAGGCTTGTCTGAAGGTCTCTGCATGTCTCCTGCAAGTTCATTTGTTCTTCAAGGCTTGTCTGAAGGTCTCTGCATGTCTCTTGCAAGTTCATTTGTTCTTCAAGGCTTGTCTGAAGGTCTCTGCATGTCTCCCACATAAAATTCATTGCATCCATTACACTAGGCTATACACTTGCGCCAGTAGCTCAGTCTGGGCTCAGGTCATATTTTGGTGGCAAGAACAGTTACCTCCATCTTTCAGAATATTCTCCTTGGTGATACTGACTGATGCAATATGAAAGAGCACATTATTTTCATATTTTGAGCTTCTATTTTGAGTTTATTTGAAATAAAGGATAGCGACATTTACAGCATCTATCGCAGCCATTATTATTCTCGTCGGTATAATATTACCCGCCATTTCATATTGTCGGTATTTTATACCTTTCTTGCACAACGTGACAAAATTATAAACCGTGAGACTACGTAATCATCCTTCACTCTAGCTCGTTATTATTATGGAGCTCATTGATCTGTCCATACTGGGACGTATCAGCCTGGCGAGGATGTTATAACATCTGGAGATGTTTTGATACTGATGAAGTTGAAGAGACACTCATGCAGCATATGGGAATCTTTATTGAAGAAATGTTTCGCCACAGTGGCTACATCAGTTCAATACAAAGCAGGAAGAACATTAAAATGGTATAAAATACCGACATTGTTAGGTAAGACACATATGCAACAGTTACGTATCTTTATTTCGAAACGTTTCGCCTACACAGTAGGCTTCTTCAGTCGAGTACAGAAAAGTTGATAGAAGCAGAAGATACTTGAAGACGATGTAATCAGTCCATCACCCTTGAAGTTTTGAGGTGGTCAGTCCCTCAGTCTGGAGAAGTTCTGCTCCATATGTGTCTTACCTAACAACCTGTCAGTATTTTATACCATTTTGAACATTAAAATGGTATAAAATACCGACAGGTTGTTAGGTAAGACATACCATTTTATTGCTCACTGTCAGACAATGATATCATGATCCATACAACAGGGCATAAGAAGATGAATACCATTCTTAATGAAGTTCAAGCAATTTGTAATCGACTAGGCCTCATAATATCTTCCTCAAACAAAGATATTAACAAGCAAACGACATCCCCCACCCATCTATTTGCAGGGTGAAATCATTAGCTACGTTAAAACTTACAGATATCTTGGTGTAGATGTACCCTTTAACAAATCCACTATACCACAACTAAACAAGAAATGCAAAGCTAGGCTAAATGCTCTCAAAGCTGTTGCTGGCTACAATCCCAACTATGGTGCTAATGTGAGAATCGTGAGAATGATGTACATAGCCTATGTTAGGTCCTTAATTGATTATGCTGCTCCCATGTTGATATTAGCTAGAGAAAGTTCCCTCCGACCCTTGGAGTTAATGCAAAATGAAGCTCTCAGGACTATTCTTGGCTGTCCCAGATCTACAAAAGTTCTTAACATGAGGAAGGAGCTTGGTATTTCTAGAATCAGTGATAGGATTGTTGAAATTAACACTGTACTCGGTATTAGAATGTTGAGAAACGAACCAGACACTGCCACAGTGAATCTTACCAAGTGTCTGGAGGTAAATACACACAGATCTAAATGGATTGTGAAAACGTGCAATTAGTTAAGAACGATAATAAATTTGTTGAGTTAGGCATAAGAATTAACAACTGGGCGTCTACACTGCAAACTGAATTGTTTGCAATCCTAATGGCGCTAAAGCTAACCTATGACACTGAGCTTGACTCTATCATCATTACTGATTCTATGTCATCATTGAAGGCTCTTGGCTCATATAATGACTCCAACAACATGCTCATTGGGGAAGCCAGGTATAGATACTCAAAAATTAGGGACAAAGGAATTAATGTACAATTGCTATGGATCCCATCACACATTGGATTACTCCTTCATGATAAAGTTGATATGTTAGCCAAGAAGAGTATCCAGAAGGAGAACGTAGAATATAACTTTGGTATAACTGTGTCTAGCATTAGGAATAATATTAGGAGAGAAGTAAATAATGAAGATGATTGTTATAGGAATGCAGTTAGAAGCCTGAGTAGATCTATAACCCACTATGATAACATGAACGTAGATAAGTATGTTTATGGAGCAACTTGCAATGTGAACAGACTGACTGATGTTGTAGTGGCCAGGCTTAGGCTTGGTTACAAGTACTTCTGGCAGTTTGGGAGACACACAGATGATCAAACTAAATGTAAATTATGTGATCAGGCATATGGTCACTCTCTTGAACACTATGTGCTTAATTGTCCACTTATTGAGGAATACAGAGACAGACAGTATAATAACCTATGTGACATGTCAAGATATCTTATTAATGAAAATAAGATACCAGATATACTAAGCAAATTTCCTAAATTTGCTTGTAACAGATAAGTGAACTATAGATATGTAGATATAAATCCATATGTATTCCTGTTAACCCTTTGGGGCCTAGTTCCTAGGCCTTTTGTGTATCCATATGCTCTCGCGCTACCGTCCACAGGATGGATATGGGGTGCACAATAAACTAGCCACTTCGGTGACAAAATCTAAAAAAAATCTGTCAGACACTGCAACACAAGGGTATCTTGGTACAGACCTGAAATCAACTTTGTCAACTACTACTAGTGAGAATGGCTGGATTTGAGAGGGACCTGACCTTCCAACGACATTCTTACCTCTACTAGTGACCTACATTTCACCTCCTAGCGGTATATAAGGCTCCATCCTGTCACTTAAACTCCATATTGTTTCAGACTATGGAACAATACTCTTCTCCAGACTGAGGGACTGACCACCTCAAAACTTCAAGGGTGATGGACTGATTACATCGTCTTCAAGTCTCTTCTGCTTCTATCAACTTTTCTGTACTCGACTGAAGAAGCCTACTGTGTAGGCGAAACGTTTCGAAATAGATACCTAACTGTTGCATGTGTGTCTTACCTAACAACCTGTCGGCATTTTATACCATTTTAATGTTCACGTAAATAATTCATTGGAAATATAAACACATATGCAGTATAATGTGATCCTTTATTGACAACGTTTCACCCACACAGTGGGCTTTTTCAAGTCACACACGGATCTACCTGGGTAGATCTGTGTGTGACTTCAAAAAGCCCACTGTGTGGGTGAAACGTTGTCAATAAGGATCACATTATACTGCATGTGTGTTTATATTTCCACTGTGTCGGTATTTGATAACATTTATTTTCAAATAATTCATTACCATTGTTTTCTGGTTATCAGAACTCTGCTGCCCAGTCCCTGGACATATTATATCCTCTAGTAATCTTTGACCACCGTCCACAGGAAGCTCTACCTGGAGCTCATTACCTTTGTAACTTGATAAATTAGACACGTGCAACTCTTGGGTATCTTTACTGAGGAAACGTTTCGCCACACAGTGGCTTCATCAGTCCATACAAAGGAGAATCTTGAACAGGAGGAGAATGAGGTAATCAGTCCCTCAACCTTGAGTCGATGTGGTCAGTCCATCAATCTTGAATAGAATACAGCATATGAGTGGAGAAGGATCTTATAAACCGTATGACAGGAGAGGTGCAGCAGTCGTAGGTGGTGTCACATTTGTTCAATGTGGAAGTAGGTCGTGCCCAAGTAGGTCGTGCCCAAGGGTTAGGCAAGCGAAGAATTCCCAAGTATTAAGATCCCAAGAAGTTGCAGTGTCTGCCTATGGTTTATAAGCTCCTCCTCCGCCCATATGCTGTATTCTATTCAAGATTGATGGACTGACCACATCGACTCAAGGTTGAGGGACTGATTACCTCATTCTCCCCCTGTTCAAGATTCTCCTTTGTATGGACTGATGAAGCCACTGTGTGGCGAAACGTTTCCTCAATAAAGACACCCATGAGTTGTACATGTGTCTAATTTATCAATGTGTCGGTTCTCTGAACCATTCATCTACAAACCTCTGTAACTTGTTCATTTATCATAACTTTGGAGTCCAGTCCCTGGACCAATTGAGTACCTCTAAACTTTTGACTACCGTCCACAGGATGGGTATGGAGTGAATAATAGATACTCTAGTGCTGAAGTATAAACAGAACTCGCTCCAGGAATGGATGATTTGGTACAGAATGACCTCACTGAATGGATAACCTGGAACAACAATCTCCAGGTATGGATGACCTGGAGGAGAACATATCCGGGATGAATAACCCGGGTTAGTGTATAATCTTATATACGATCTTTCAAAATGTTTCAGCGGCTGACTCCAAGAATGCATCAGCAGCCAACTCCAGTAATGAAATTAGGGTATATAGGGAAGATCATGGCGAATTCTGGCCTGACGAAGGCGTAGGGGTCCGGGTACTCTTTGGTACCGATATTGTAGCATCGGACAGGTAAGCGTCTGTGAGCTAAGAAGTTAGTGGCGCTTTTGACTTCAGCCAAGGAAACCATCACCATCACTGAAATACCACACAGGAGCCTCATCTTGCCTTGTGGCTGGATAACCTGTCAAATATAAAGCTGAAAGTTAATCAGTGTTATAGAAAAGCGTTTTTTTTTTTATTACTAATAGGAAAATTAAAAGAAGTATCGACGAAACTCGACTCGCCACGAAAAGAAAGTTACTATGAGGCTGAGAACACTTAAAACTGACACCGCTAAACAACTTAAAATATGGTTAAAATTTTAGGTTAAAAAGCCTACAGTTGTAAACTCAAATTGCACCGACAGGATGAAAAAAAAAATCAAAACTGAGCTAGTCAACGAGCACGGAACAATAAGTTGGTACAAAAAGGTAAACAAATAACAATAAACTTTTACGACACCTGGAGTCTGGAGTACATTTAAGAGATGTGCTAATGTTTATAGAGCTCTTGTTCCAGGAAACTGAAGCTACTTTCCTTGAATCAAGCCTCATTGTTAATGCTCCAATGGGTTTAGCGCATCTTTAAGACCAAAAACTCTTTAATCCAGGAAACGTACACTCTAGGTACACAAACATGCGCGGTAATTTTTCTGAACTAGGATGAATTATAATGGTTTTAACCTGAAATTTATACATAATTTTGAAGCGATAAGTTCATCATGGATAAACATAAATAGAGATGAGCTCGTGTAGGCTTTTTTTTCCTGCAGTTTAACATGTGTTCTACACGTTTTTTTATTCTCTCGGTATGCAGCAGTGTGCAGCAATATTCCAGCAGTGTGCTGCCGGCAGTAGTAAACAGTGGCTGCAGAACACCTTTGTGGCAGTTTCATTAGACTGTACAGTTTTATTGTACCATATCAGTTTTGGGTAGTTGTACCACAATGTCCTTGATTATGCTATGAGTTTTGTCACTAAGTTTTGTATTTATTTTTCCCCTCCAGGGAGGTTCCTTGACGCTGGTGAGGGGCTCTTGATCTAGGGTCCCTCAAGGGAGGTTCCTTGACGCTGGTGAGGGGCTCTTGATCTAGGGAATTGGATCTGTGTTCCAGTTTCCTGAATTGACCCTGAAGACCTTCCATCTCCCCCCCCCACATGCACTGTATAACCTTACTGGTTTAGCGCTCCCCCATGATTATAACACTTCGGCATTCAACTTCCTAAAATTTACAAGTGCAAATAATGGTACAGTTTTATTGTACCATATCAGTTTTGGGTAGTTGTACCACAATGTCCTTGATTATGCTATGAGTTTTGTCACTAAGTTTTGTATTTATTTTTCCCCTCCAGGGAGGTTCCTTGACGCTGGTGAGGGGCTCTTGATCTAGGGTCCCTCAAGGGAGGTTCCTTGACGCTGGTGAGGGGCTCTTGATCTAGGGAATTGGATCTGTGTTCCAGTTTCCTGAATTGACCCTGAAGACCTTCCATCTCCCCCCCCCACATGCACTGTATAACCTTACTGGTTTAGCGCTCCCCCATGATTATAACACTTCGGCATTCAACTTCCTAAAATTTACAAGTGCAAATAATGGAAAAATTACCAAGTTCTGTCTGGAGGGCCTTCCGGGGGTCAACGCCCCCCTGGCCCAGTCCATAGCCATGTCTCTCAGGGGATCGGTGCCTGAACGATCAGGCTGTTACTGCTGGCCGCACGTACAACGTACAAACCACAGCCCGGCTAATCGGGTGCTAACTTTAGATATGTCCAGCTCCCTCTTGAAGACAGCCCGGAGCCTATTGGTAATCCTTCTTATAGGCAACATTTAGGCAACTTTATTCCGAAACGTTTCGCCTATACATCTTTACTGCTCCCGCCTACTTTCTGTACTCGACTGAAGAAGCCTACTGTGTAGGCGAAACGTTTCGGAATAAAGTTGCCTAACTGTTGCCTATGTGTCTTATCTACCAACCTGTCGGTATTGTATACCATTTGATAATCCTCCTTATGCCTGGTGAGAGGCCGTTGAACAGTCTGGGGCCCCAGACACTTAGTGTTTTCTGTGTAATAATGGCGCCACTACTTTTCGTTAGGGGTATGTTGCACCATCTGCCCAGTCTTTTGCTTTCGTAGGGAGTGATATCTGTGTACAGATTTTGGACCAGTCCCTCTAGGATTTTCCAAGTGTCGATTATGATGTGTGTGTCTCGCCTGCGCTCCAGTGAGTACAAGTTAAGTGCTTCCAGGCGTTCCCAGTAGTCGAGTGCTTCCAGGCGTTCCCAGTAGTCGAGTGCTTCCAGGCGTTCCCAGTAGTTAAGTGCTTCCAGGCGTTCCCAGTAGTTAAGTGCTTCCAGTCATTCCCAGTAGTTAGGCGCTTCCAGACGTTCCCAGTAAAGCGCTTCCAGGCATTCCCAGTAGTTAAGTGCTTCCAGGCGTTCCCAGTAGTTAAGTGCTTCCAGGCATTCCCAGTAGTTAAGCGCTTCCAGACGTTCCCAGTAAAGCGCTTCCAGGCATTCCCAGTAGTTAAGTGCTTCCAGGCATTCCCAGTAGTTAAGTGCTTCCAGGCGTTCCCTGTAGTTAAGGTGTTTGGCGGAACTTACACGTGCAGTAAAGTTTCTCTGGATATTCTTTAGATCTGCGATTTCATCAGTCTTGAGTGAAGCTGTGCAGTATATTGTACAGTTTACCTGGAGTTTACCTGTAGAGGGTTTCGGGAGTCAGTGATAACTTTTTTCATTATAGTGACATTACCTTCGTTTAGTAAAATTTCGTTATGGTACTACCATAACAGCCTGGTTCATCAGACCCTGATCCACCATGACGCCTGGTCTCAGACCGGGCCGCGGGGGGCGTTGACCCCCAAAACTCTCCAGGTAAACCATCACTTTTAGCGCTGCTACTGCCCCTCATGGAAGGTTCCTTGATGTTGGTGAGGGGCTCTTGATTTAGGGAATTGAATCTGTGCTCCAGTTCCCCGAATTAAGCCTGAATGCCTTCCACATCCCCCCCTGGGCGCTGTATAATCCTACGGGTTTAGCGCTTCCCCCTTGATTATAATAATAATAATAATAGCGCTGCTACACCATACTTCCTATATATAACGGAAAAAAGTAAATACCGTGCCTGGACGGGTACACAACCCGTACACGAACTTCTGACTACTTTCCTGTCCGACTGGATTATTAACTAGTCACTAGTTATTGGTCCACTTAGACCATTAACTAGTGTAACTAGTTAATGGTCTAAGTCGGACCGAAACTCCATAGATTTTTCTGTGCGGGTTATGTATTATATAAATTGTATAAAATACTGATAACTTGAAGTAGAACGCGTGCAACACCACTGAGAAATTATATGGGCGAATTTCACGGTCTTGAGTATAACTTGAGAGGGTCTGAGACCAGGCCTACGGGTGGATCAGCTAGGCTGTTACTGCTGGCCGCACGTAAACCGACTTATGAGCCACAGTCCGGCTGGTCAGGAACTGACTTTAGGTACGTGTCCAGTGCCTTCTCGAAGGCAGTCAGGAGTCTATTGGTAATCCTCCTTATGTATGCTGGGAGGCAGTTGAAGTCTGGTACCTGACACTGTTCTCTATGGGTGATAAGATTTCGTTCGGATTTTTAACCCCGGAGGGTTAGCCACCCAGGATAACCCAAGAAAGTCAGTGCGTCATCGAGGACTCTTAACTTATTTCCATTGGGGTCCTTAATCTTGTCCCCCAGGATGCGACCCAAACCAGTCGACTAACACCCAGGTACCTATTTGCTGCTAGGTGAACAGGACAACAGGTGTAAGGAAACGTGTCGAAATGTTTCCACCCGCCGGGAATCGAACCCGGGCCCTCCGTGTGTGCAGCGAGGGCTATAGCCACAAGGCCACCGGGCCCCTACCACCAGGCCACCGGGCCCCTACCACCAGGCCACCGGGCCACTACCACCGGGCCACCGTGATATACCTTAACTCCTGCCTAACAGGACGGTATACTAATTATTGGCCATTATTGTACTGTACAACATACAAGAAGGTGAAATTTAGTATAATGAACGCGATGATACGTTTTTTTTTTTTCATTCGTCTAGCAGCCACATTTTTCCAGCATTAATCTGACAGTTATTTTATAGATATGGATCTTTCCAGATATATTTTTCTTATATAGTGTCCTATTTTCGCCGATACTATTTCTATCGGCTTACATGATACCCGATTTAGTTCACGAACTCCCCGTCCGCACCTCACTTTAAGACAGTCGAAGCTTCCTTCCTCAATAACGTTTTAAACACATTTATTTATAGTTAATATTTTTCTGGGTTTATAACTCATTTCCCTCAGATTAATTTCCTTTAGATTACACTGATTACATTTTACTTACTACAATAAATAAGGAAATTATAGAGGATGTTGGTTCCCCTGTGGCTTAGTTTTCACGTCTCATCAGTACTAAGTTATAAACGCTATTATCCCCATCAATTCTTACACAAATTAGAGGAAAAATTAACAGTGGCTGAAATACACTACTGGAGAAATTAGCTTTGGTGGAAGACATTAATGGAGTAGTTTATTGTATCAGTTCGTCACACTAGGAGGTCCAAGGTAATTTCTTAGCCAAAGGCAGAGAAGCTTGTGGCCAGAAATTTTTAGCCCGGAAGATGAAGTGTAGCTTGGAGGTGAGGAATGTCTCGGGTGAGGAATGTCTCGGGTGAGAGATGTCACAGGTGAAAGATGTCACAGGTGAAAGATGTCTCGGGTGAGAAATGTCTCGGGTGAGGAATGTCTCGGGTGAGAAATGTCTCGGGTGAGTTGGGTTAACTTGTGGAAGTAGGTAGTGCTAAAATGTGAGCAAATAAAAAAAATGAAGCCTGCAGAACAGGCGAAACGTTTCGTCAATAAAAGTTCCTAATGTTGCACACGTTATACTCTTCTACACCGCCTTATTATAGCTGTCACACCTTGTTAGATCTGCTACACCACACTTAGTCAAAGATTGTGCGTTATATTTGGACACACCCAACAGTCTCACCTCTCCGGCCGGCGCTGCCTTGTTATATACTCGGGTTCTCACAGTCCAACAGTCACTCTTGTTGCGTCACAGATCAGTGTTCCGTGTACATGTTACCGTGTCAGCCTTCAACTTAATGATCTGCCTTAGCTCAACTAAATGGCTATGGCGTCACTGGTTTGCGCAGTAGATTCAAATTCAAATTCAAAGTTTATTCTCTATAAGGATTACAATGCTTAGTTTACAGAAATTTGGTTATTGTTTGGTTTAACATGTAGTAAAATTGAGATTACAGAGTGTACCACTAGAACGCTTAGCATGGCTAGGCATTTCGGGCATACTTAGTTTTATTCTTAAATGTAAAATATTACAAATTATGAGGTAAGTTGGTATTATGGCTAAGTGACTAAATACTAGTTTGTGAGTTTAGCAGTGTGAATGCTTTTGTTTTGGCA